GAAGGTGTTAGCACCCTTTCTATCCATGGTTATCCATGGGCTCTTAGATACTTGCTCACTTGTGTTTTCAAAAATGGTTTGTTTGCTTTTCAATGTGGGTTTTAAAAAGTTTCTTTGAAAATCTCAGTTCGACTCTTGTATCGGTCCTCAAGAGTGTTTGAAAAATTGCTTTCGAAAGCTTTTTGAAAAGGTCTCGGTGTGAAAAGTATTTTTGAATTTGTTTTGAAATTAGAGCAAGTATCTAGAGTCGTCTACCTACCCTAAGGAATTCGTCTGTGTAAATGTCCTTTAAAGTAGTGCCATCCTACCATTAAGAGGTAGGTAGCATCACCGTTGGAGGTGTTCGGGTCAATTCGAGGGTTCGGGACATGGTGATCACCGGAGCAATAGGAAGATACCTTAGAAGCTACCCTCATGCCAGGTTCCCGGATCATGAGGACTTACTAAGACATCCTCTACTCGACGATCACCTTTCGAGGGGCAAGGCAACAGTGAGGCGTACCCTAGGGGTGGTGTGTGATTTGTGTGTCATTTTCAGATATTTTGTCTTGTCATGTCATGGGTGATCTACGCTTTTATTTTTATTTTAACATTCATTCTTGCATGTAATTTATTAGCAGTTAAAAAGTTGCGAGAAATATAAAGTTCCTAAACTATTACAAAGGCGCGGGTCCACATCGCCAAATTAAATCCGGGACCCGATTTGACGTAAAATAAAGTAAAGTGCGAGAAATATAAATGTCCAATTTACACGGCTTTGGGAGAATTACATGAATTATAAGAAAGGAAATAAAATGCGAAGAGAATTAAAATCGAAAGCGAGGGCGTTGGACCCTTTTTAGGAAATTAAATTATAATTAACAAATTAATTAAATTAAACTAAAAAGAAAAGATTTTTTTGGAGTTTTTTTGTATTTATGGATTTTTAATAAGAAAAATTAAATTGGAATTAAAACCTAGTTCTAGCTATTTTTAATTTATTAAAAAAACATGTTAAAGTTAGACCTAGAATTAACCTAATTAATTAATGGCAAGTTTTATTTACAAAAATAATATTTAATAATTAATTATGGTGAGAGAAAAAAGAAGAAAGAATGAAAAAATACTTAAAACCCTAATTCTACACTTTTTTAATTTATTAAGAAAAATATTTGAATTAAACCTAAATTTAAAAAGCTAAATTAATTAATGAGATTTATTTACAAAAAATAACATTTAAATAAAATATATTTTTATTTTTGTCTTTTCTGATTTTTTGTTATTTTTATATTTTATGAAAATAAATTAATTTCAAGAATTAAATTAAAACTAATTAAAACAAATAAAATAGAAAAATATAAAAAAGAAGGAAAAAGCAAACCAATGGGGGGTTCTGTCCCCAAACTGGAGGTATGACTCAGTAATTCTGGCCCAATTGGTTTCTGGCCTTGTTGACTTCTGGCAATTACATGTGGACTTGTTGACCAACGCCCAAGGTGCTCTTCAAACATTGGCCTTTGGATTGCCCTCAGTGGCCATGTGGCATGCCTGGATTGTGAGTGTATGGTGGACGCTTGGAGAGAGACTGCATAGGATGATATTAAAACAAAACATATGAATAAAGTGAGGGGACCTGGGAATCGAACCCAGGTCCCAGTGATTATAGGACAACGCACCAACCATCTGCACCAAACGCTTTCTTTGTAAGATTATTGGAACATGATTATTATAAAAAAAACAAAACGCTAATGCTAACAAACAAAAATAAGCGCGCTGAATTTAAATTACCCAACCACAGCTTGCCACATAATCTTCTTCTTCGTTGTCCCTGAAACAAAAAAGAATTAGAGGGGGTTTTGAACCCCCCCAAAATGCAAGCTTTTCAAAAATAGCGATTAGCCCATCTTGCTATATAAATTAGGCGCGATTAGTGGGTTATGTTCGTCCAAGCTTCCTGAGTTTAGCCATGGTACTAGGATGTCCTAATTTTACAGTATTCGAAAATGCCCAATTTGAAGCTTGAGGAACCCTAGCGTGCTTCAATGGCGAAATCGTGTATGATGCTTAAAAACTCAATCAAAACATATGGTTAGCTTTAGAATGATCCAATGAATACAAATCCAATATTAAAAATTGCAAACAATGCATGAATTATGATGCAAGAATATGGAAAAAATCATGAACAGGACACGGTCGTTCTACCGTTTCTGGACGTTAGAGTTGATGGTATTGATTCAAACACGTTCCTTGAAGCCTCAGGAATGCAATAGGATAGTTTTCTTCCCCTGAAATGCCTTGGAACCACGTTTTCAGTTTTTGAATTTTTGGCAAAAAACACCAACTTTCTTCTTGTTGTCTGGCGCAGCCTCGAGGTCCCTTGGCATTAGGTTTGCATCTTGCTTATGTATGGAATGTATTAGGGTTGAGTTTTTGATCCAAAAATCCTTGCATTGATGAAAACAATATTTGATTTTCATGGCATATCTTCCAAATCTTTTTTCACATGTTTTTGATTCCAATCATGGCAAAACCTTCCAATTTTGATTATGCACGAATCTTGAGCCTTTAAGAAGAGTTTATCTTGCACAAAAAGATTTAAAAACTTTGGTTTAGTATTTTTCCATATTTTATTTAATTTAAATGAATTAATTGTAATTAAAAATTCAAATAAATAAATAAAAATGATGAATAAATCCCCTTTGGGCCAAATGGTCGTGCACATGCTTTGGATGATGAATCTTGGAAGAAAATGTGGCCCATTAGCAATTTTAAGGCTTTTGAAGCAAAGTTGACTTTTCAAAATACCCAAAAATTTCCCAACTTCCACAAGGCATATCTTGCTCAATTTTTAAGCTTTGATCATGTTCTTGGACATTTTGGAAAGGTCTTGAAGTCCTCTAACCAATTCCTTTGGTCCCATGTCATTTTGATTTACCAATCTCAAGTTATGGCCTTTTACTTAAATTCCCTTTTTGTTGACTTTTGAAAATGACCTATAATGTTTGAATTGATAACTTTTTGTGAGAGCATTTATTGGACTTGAAGTGTGAAGAGGAGTTGTAGGAAATGTCTTTCTCTTCAAAATGAGCTTTGGATGGAATTTTTCTGATAAACCATGTGGAAGTTATGCCTTGGTCAAGTTACAGTTGACTTTTTCAACTGTCCAAATATGGAAACTTTTGCATCTTGAGACTTTTTGAGCCATGCTTTGAAAATCATGATCAAGAATTGATCAAATGATGTTTGTGGCTTCAAAGTAAGATGTTGACCAAAAATTTGGACTTTTGACTGTCAAATGACCATTTTGCCCCTGGAGTTGACTGTAGGGCAATTAGGGTTTTTGACTGTGCAATTTTGTGCTGTAAGTCTTGAGACTTGCCATGAGGATGCTTGACCATGTTTGTAGGCATGTGAGACTTGTTTGGACCCTTGGAAACTTCATTTTCCTTGTCAGAACCAAAACCCTAGTTTTTGACTGTTAGGAGGCCCTTGAACTGTGCAATCCTTGGGGAGATTTTGAAGCATGCTCTTTGCAAATCTTGAAGAATATGGGAGGGCAAATTTTGGGGTACAACACTATCACAATAAAACACTCATCCTATTACGACCACCTCTTCCCTATCACTTCCTAAACTCTGTAAAAAGACTGATACCCATAAAATAGAAAATCTTGTTGAATATTCTTATGTTCCAGAAGATGCTCAAATTGTTGAAACAGTACCTCCCCTTTTAAGCCCTTATAATATCTTCAACCCATCAACATTCATCACATATCATCAAGGCATCAATGTAAGAACACACCCTAACACATATAAATCAATTCCTCTACTCTACCACATACCAATCATCATTAAAATGCAATAACCCACTTTTATTTTAGGTTTTTCCAACAATTCTTCAAACCTTCAATGGGGGTTCCTCCTATGTCCTAGCTCTCAAAACTTGTTTCCTGGTACTGTCAAACTCAATTTTCCAATTCTCTCTTTTTATTTTAATTTTTAATCCTTTTAATTATGTTTCGCCTATTTTACCTTCAATTTAACCCATTCAATTACTACTCCGCCCATAAGTTCCTCTCTAATTTCCACCGTATCCTCAATGTTACTATAACCTATTTTCTTCTTATTTTATTTAATTAATAAAATTGAATAATTATTTAAATTAATAAGATAATTCACAATTATTCTACGATCTCTAATTACTCTCTAAGCCTCACCATATGATCACACACGTTTACTTCCCAACTTATCTAATTAACTAGAATGAATAATTAAATAAACACCACAAAATTATAATTAAATCAAATAAATTAATTTTTAGAAAATGAGGAGTTACAAACTCCATCCTAATGTTGACTTAACTTAGTCAAAGTCATTAAAATTATTTCTCTCTCTTACTTATACAAGGACTCTCCTACATTTGGACATCGTAGAAAAATGAAAAACACTTAAGGTGTTAATCTGACAAAATATCTTTTATATTTCCTTTTCTTTATTCTTTTGCTTTCTGGTTACATATTCTAGTCATCTAAAAGAATGCTTGTTGTTATTCTGATACCTCATATTCATAATAAAAATTTGGAAAGAACCTGTTAAATTCTGAGAGATTTGCGCTTATGAGGTGGATAAATCATTAAGAACGGTGTACTTATACGCCTCAAGTTTATGTAATGGCTTATTATTTTGCAGGTTCAATGATTTTTATTATGAGAAGAAATGATCAAGTTATATTGGTGGTCAAATTTTCTACGACATATTTTACAAGAAAATTCAATGTAGTGACAAAGCTAAGTATAATACAAAAAAAACAGTTTGCAGTTTACTTCTCTTTACAATATCAGTTTAGCAGTCAATGGGAGGGCATAATTTGGTTTGGCATGCGAAATCAATCTTCCAAATCAAACTGGTTTAATTTTCTGCGGAATTGTTTAATTTTCAGAGATAAACTGGTTTAATACAAGTTCAGTATTGATTCTTAACTGGTGTGATACAAGTTCAATATTGATCAAATGCTCAAGAACATCATATATTATCATTTGAAGTTATACATTGACCAACAACCTTTCCCGCTTCGATTGAGCTGTAGCCAGGAGTTCTTGACTGCTTAATCTGATTCCTAACAATAATCTTTTTATTCCACATATCTCTGCCCGCATAAATATTTGACATAGCAACACTATCACCAACATAGCCAGGATCCAAGTTAAGTAGCTTATGCCGAACTTCTGTAGCTAGCTCTAAATCACCATGAAGGCTACATGCCCCAAGCAACGTTCGCCAGATAACTGCATTTGAATCTGTCGGCATCTGCATAATGAAGTCGTAAGCATCTCTCAGGTGCCCGCCACGGCATAAGAGATCCACCATGCAGCCAAAGTGAGGCTCTCTTGGTTCTATACCATACTCTTCTGTCATACTTCTGAAATGACGTTTTCCTTCCTCAACCAATCCTGCATGGCTGCAAGCCATTAAAACTCCAATGAACGTTACATCATTTGGACATACAATAAAATTAGATGAACTCGATTTTGTCATATCCCTCCTTGTGTTCATTTGGGAGAAAAGCTGAAGAGCTTCATGTGCTTGGCCATGTAGTGCATGACCTACTATCATAGAAGTCCAAGTTGTGACATCTTTGTTTCTTGTGCTATCAAACAACTTTCTTGCATTTACAATATCACCACATTTAGCATACATATTTATAAGCGCATTACTCAGACACAAATCCGTCTTCATCCTGTGTTTACGCCGGACAAAATCATGAATCCATTCCCCCATTTCAAGTCCCCCAGTATCAGCACAAGCCGAGAGAGCAACCGTCACAACGACTTGATCCGGTTCCACTTTGTTCATAAGCATCAGTCTAAACAGTTCCAAACCTTTGTTGGGTTGGTGATTTCCAACGTAAGCAGAAATCAATGACGTCCAACAAATAATATTCTTTGTCGGTATTTCCTCAAACACTTGGTGTGCATCAAATAAGTTTCCTCCTTCAGCATACACTTTCAAAAGGGATGTTTGGAGTTGAATTATGGATTCATATCCAAGTTTCATGATGAGGGCATGCAATTGTTTTCCTTGGATAGAGGAATGTTTCTTGTTGATGCATGCTTTAAGGGCAAACAGGCAAGAAAAACTATCAATGGAGTTGAAAGTGGATGGTTTTTTTCTTAACAAGGTTCTGAAAAGTAGAAGCACTTTGGCGTGGTTGTTGCATTCAAGGTATTTCTTAAGGGTTTGGTTTGGTTTTGGTTGTTTAAGGTTATTATTGTGAAACTGAGCTTTATGACACATGGACATGGGAACATAAACCAACTTGCTCTCACTCCTTTGAAGCAAAGAGTTGAAACGTTTCAAGTGTATCATGAATGTCACAAATTTAAGTTCTATTTTTCAGTAACTTATTCTTATTTATTGCATTTTAATTTATATAATTATTCCACTACTTATTATTAATAAGGTTATTTTAATAAATAAAATTTATTTTATCACTGAAATTAACATAATTAATTATTATCTTAAAAAATATGAAAATTTAAAAAAAAAAAATACCTATTCTTAGACACAGGGAATAGTTATTGGTTAATTAACACCTCAACACGACATAGGTTAGAGTTGTTGCCAATCTAAACCAAACATTTCATTGAAATGAAGTGGAATCAGAACCCACTACAATGGAGCGGAATTGAATTTTATAAATGTAAAAATTTCAACCTTTTTTCCTTCTAAAAATATATTCAACAAATTGAAGTTTAATTAATCATATGCAGTGTAATTTCTGAACATGTAGAGTCACTTTTGGGTATTCATTGCTAGTATATTGGAGCTTCAAAAGTTCATGTTATTATTTGTATTATTTTTACTTAGAGGTTCAAAAATAAAGTTTAAAACTACACAAATTGGAAGTCAATATACTTATTTATAAGTTTTTACAGCAAAACAAAAACCAATAAGCTGGTTGTTTATATAAATCAATCGTAAATGACTCGGATGAGATCACTTCGAGTTTATTTAAGCATGTGTTTAGTTCAAAGAAGACTGAAATGGTGCTCCATAGATTTACTCTTCTCTAAATATATCAGTTCTCCTCTGTCCTCACTTCCCAAGTTGTTGGCAAGAAAGCCTCAACAATCCAATGCCAGGATTATTTTCCCACGTCTCAAGCTGAAAAAGTATGAAACCAGTTCCTCTTCAATCATTAATATGCCTATGTATGATTGTTTTGTAGTGATGCTATGTGCATTACCGTGGATGTATAAAACAAACTGTTCATGACTGCAATTGCAGCCCAAGCAATGAATCTTTGAGGTTTTTTATGTATCTTCAATTGTGACTGCGGCCATCAGTTGTGTTGGACTGCAAGTTTCTTCAATATATCACAATGTGGTCACGATTTAAAACCTTGGGCATGATCAAGACAGATTATTTTATGTGCTACTACTTGATTGCCAAATTTGCAAGACACAAGCAAAGGAATAACTGGAGTGAAAAATCATTGGTGTGCTAAGAAATTCAATGTGATATATCAAGCACCGGCAGCATTTGTAATTTAACCAATTGATCAGATTCATTTGTCATTGTAATCTAACTCAAGCAGCCTCCTTAGTTTGATGCCAAAGGGGTCTAATTTGCATCAACTGCAAGGAATCAAAATATACACAGAAAGCTGTATTCCATTAATTGCTCAGAACACATTCGAGCTGGTTTCAAATCTCAATTCTCTATAGCCTGTAGACAATACACGACATATGGAAGTATTTCTCAGAACACCCATCTTCAGGATGTCTGCATGCAACATCATTGCATCAACCACGTGCTTGAATCGAAAATGTGCCTCCAACATGATAACATAAAGAACCAGGTCTGGTTTGAAACCGCTACATCTCATTTCTTTGAAAAACTTGGTGGCCTTGAAAATATGTCCATCTTTACATAAACCTTGAATTAAAACAGCATACATAACATCATTCGGAGAACACAACCCGCTACGATCCATTTTACCTCCAGGGAAACCAACTCCAGTTTTCTCCAAGAAAAGTCTGATTGCAGCGTAGGTCCTTCCATCATTCAAAAGGCCGTTAATCAAAGAAGTAATTGTGACCACATTTGGCTTTAGTCCTGCGTTCAGCATCTCCTTATGCAGTTCAAAAGCCACTTTGTTGTTCCCATCCTCGCAATGTCCATCGATCAATGTCGTGTATGTCACCACATCAGGTTTAAGACCTTTGATAACCATTTCTGTATATAACCCCATAGCAGCTTTTATGTTACCATTCTTGCAAAACCCATCAATCAAAGTAGAAAACGTGATCTCATTGGGTTCTACCTTCCTCGCAGTCATTTGTGAACACACCTCAATAGCCTTTACCATATCCCCCATTTTGCAGTATCCATCAATCAACACATTGTAAGTCACAGCATTAGCAAAAACCCCTGCTTTTCCCATCTCCTCCATCAAATCCTTAGATTCTTCAAACTTACCCGAGTCGGATAAACCCTTAACAAGTATACTGCACGTAAAAACATCCCAGAAAACTCCATTCCGTTTCATTTCATCTCGCAATCGCATTGCTTCAACCAAATCCCCTGCCTTACAGTAACCATCAATCAAACAATTATACACATGCGAATTAGGAAACACACCAAACTTATCCATATAAACAAAGCAGCTTCGTGCAGCCTTCAAATCACCCGCCTTGCACAAAACATCCACCAAATTCGCAAAAGTCACAACATCAGGATGCAAACCATGCCATAGCATATCACTATACAATTCAAAAACACGTTTAACATTACCCACTTTGCAATACCCATCAATGAGAGTAACATAAGTATACAAATTAGGATCCACCCTAGTTTCTCTCATCAACTTAAAAATCCTCTCCGCTTCTCCCATTTCAGCCTCATTACAAAAAACACGAATGAGAATAGTGTAAATCACCACATTGGGTTCAATTCTTCTTTGAATCATTTCATCAAACACCTTGCAGGCATTGCTGAAATCACCCTGGTAGCAGCAACAGTTCAATAGAATCCCATACGTGATGACAGTAGGTGAAAACCCGCGCGACATCATGTTATTAAAGATCTCCCACACGGAATCAAACTTCTTCGTCTTGACTAACGAATAAAGAAGCGCGTTGCAGGCGCGTAAGGGAGGTAAATTAGGGTTAAGGGTGTTGAAAACCCAAAGGGCTTCTTGGACGAGAGATAGTTGGCAGAGTGAGAGTATGAGAACTTCAAATGAGCGGGGCGTGGTGGCGGGGTTGGAATTGAGCGCGTGGAAAAGAGAGAAACATGTGTTAGTGGGTTTATTTGAGTTTTGAAGGTGTTGTCTGGTGAGGGATGTGGCTTTTGTGATGTTGGTGTTGTTTTTGGGGTTTGTTAGAATTTGGAGGATGGTGTTTGTGTTTGTGTTTGAGTTTGAAGAGGAATGGAGGGAAGAGAAAGTGGAAGTGATGGGAATGTTTTTGCGACGGAGGAGGTTTAACATTGTCGATGAAAGAGTATTGTGGCTGTCTGATGATGGAGTCAGTGGATTTCAATGTAATGTGTTTTCTTCATTAATAACTTTGGGTGGAACATTTATGATGTCTTTGGTTTGGAAAAGAAATGTGAAGAGAGAAATAGATGAGAGAGTGTTAGAAGAGAGAAATAGATGAAAAATAAAGAAGATTTGAGGTATTGTTTGGTTTAATAGAAAGAGAGAAGAAATTGAGAAGAGAAAAGTGTTGCATAGTTTTAAAATTATAATAATATTCTTATGATAAATAACATTTTAAAGAATATATATTTATAATTTATTGGGCAACATAGTCATTTTCATTTACTAATTTGTTTTTTTTCACTCTCTTCATAATTAAGAGAAATACAAAAGTTGTGGGACCTAACATTTTTTTAATCTCTCTTTTCTATTTCTCTTCTTCCCAAATAAGAGAAGTTATCAATCTCTCTTCTACTTCTCTCTCACACCTATTTCTCTCTTTTTTATTTCTACTCTATCAAACACACTCTTATAGAAGAAAGCTGAGTGAGAAAATAATTTTATTTAACGCTTAAATAGTTTTTCGATCTATGTAATTTAGGGAGTTTTCAAATTTGTTATTGAACTTTTTTTATGCAAGTTTTCATATGTCTATTTTTTGTCTGTGTTAGTCGCTGTTATGTAAGTTCCTTTAAAAATAAAAATTTATGTGGAAGACGTGGACAAATTCACATTTGTTTTTTTTTTTGTTTTTTTTAAGATTAAATATATTACACCTCTTACAATGTAAACGATATTCGCTTTAGCTCTTTTAAAAGATTTTTTCCTTCCGTAATATCAAGATTTTCTCGCTATAGCCCACATAACATTATTTGAGTTTATATTCCATTTCGTTAATGACTGGCAGTCTAGGTGAAATTTAATTATTTTTTATTTATTTTTAAAAATTCACGTGAATTATTTTTTTAACTTTTTTTACATATTTTCATTTTTTTAATTATATTATATTTTATTAAATATATATTTTTTCGGAGTAATAAAAATAATTTTTGTTTCAGATAGGGGTTAAACCCACGCCCATTTTGTTGAATGATATATGATTAAATCGCTTGTCTTTGTTTCCGATGAAATCCTCTATGATTCTCAACTTAACTTTAGTTTACAATCAACCTAAATTGATCGTTATCAACACAAATATAGATGACACCCAAACAATGAATAATTATGTATATGATGTTTGTGTGTATGCATAGATTCAAGGTTGAAGATGATGAGCAATCTTAGTATGTGTTTATAGTTTCATCAAATTGAAAATGATATATTTATGAAGTATATATAGGTGTCAAGTTGAAGGCAAAAGGGAAACTTGAAAGTTTGAAAAGGAAAAAGATTTTTGCAAAATTTTGACACATGTGTCGACACATGTAAGTAATGTATCGACACATGTAATGACATGTGTCGACCTGTATGAGGTATTTGTGTCATCACAATATTCCAGAGACTTTCATGCTTTAAAACACCAGCACATGTATCGACGCATGCAACGGATGTGTTGACACATATAAATGATTTTTATGCAAAAATTTATTTTTAATGACAGGTGTCGATCTATATGAGGTCTTTGTGTCGATACTTAGTTACAGAGCCTACATGGTTTTATTATTGAATTACATGTGTTGACACATCCAACTAATTTTATGCAGAAAATCATTTTTGGTGCATGATACCTTTCGACAACCTTTTCGAAACATGTTCTAGATGCATTCTAAGATCCCTAATGCAAGGATGCACACAATGACTCAAAGATGTCATTCAACATACAGAAAAGCTAAATCTATCCTAGTTTTGACATCATGCAAAACATCTATTTGAGAGGCAAATGCATTCACACTTAGATGGATGGAAATTGAAATAAAATGCATACATGTCTTCATCTTTAGCATAGGAAGGAATTTTTAAATCAATGAGTTTTTTCATAAATTATTCTTTTAAAGTGACAGCGGTATCGATGATGGTTCGACTAAGATTATTTGTCCTATACACAGTTTTGAAGTAATGTTGGAAGGCTTAGATCTCCTTTATGTGCTTGTCTTTACCTTTCTTGAATCTCTCATGTATGGAAGAAAAAACGCTCGTTAGATGTTGCAACAAGGTAAGAATGTCGAAGAATTACTCATCATCATAAGTCTTCCACCAATCATCAATGTTTTAAGTGTAATAGAAAGATGGTCGAAACTAAATTGGAATAAGCTTGGCAGTTTCAACAGTGTGTCGAACCAAGCGCTTAACATATTCGTTTTCAGAAAATTAATGCTATGAAGACAGAGATCATTCTTTCAATTGTAGAATGATTTAGGCAGTGTTTGGTTGAGCTCAAACTGTCAGGATACGAGATTGAGTTGATAACTAAACATTTTTACATGATCTTTAGAAATTCCAAGCCTAGTCAAAATCAATTAGGGGATGAGGAAATATTCCCATATTGTAAGGGATTCTGCTTCTTGTTCAGCCTTGGGGGCAGGAAACTCTATAGTAAACCACTCATGGCCATGAGTTCGATTGGAAAAAAGTGTCATGGATGAAGTGAAATTATGACGTTTGGCGAACATCATAACGTATCTAGTGAAGTTTTCTTGCAAATTGCGCCTATTGTCAATATGGTTTTGTAAAGCTAGTTGAGTACCTTCAACCCTCATGTCCATGATAGCTTCGTCATCCTCATTGGGTTTGTCAACTTGAAGTGAGGGTTTGAATGTGACATTTATCCATAATTGAAGCGACCAGTAAGTACTAGCCAATAAAAAATTGGTTCTAAGTTAATAGTTTTTTAGGGATTCGATAGCGGCCCCTAAAGTCTCATAAAGAGAACTCAATATCAGTTGACTTAGGCAAATGCCATGACCTTCACAAAGTTGGTTCGCTAGAGTCAGAAATCTCTTCGCAGTGATTCACAGTAGAAAATGTAGCACGACAATTATAGCACCAAGAGAGCGATGTGCTCCTCGTCAGATACTTCGTCACTCTCTTTGTGACCAAAGTTGGATTGATTAGTGTTAGAGTTGTGGTGTCCTCGTTTCTTTCATTGGGATCGAAATCTTCTCTGGTTGGTCGAAGACCAGTGATAACAATTATGTCGAAGAGTGTTGGTGTGACCATTCCACAAGTAATGTGAAAGGTGTTTGTAGTGCTTTCCTAGAAATACAAGGACGCAACTAGCATGTTTTGGCAATATACTGGTCCTATTTTCGACAGTTGGATCATATCAAAGATTACCATATCTTTCCAAGTTTAGGTCTTCTTCTTTTCGACTTTTTCAAGCTAAGAAAGATAATTTTTTGGATCTTTAAACAGGGGGCAAGAGCGAAACACTCTAAGAGTGTAGCTCATATAACCTAAGTTGATAGGGTTTTCTAGTTTAATGACGGATTTGTCTTTTGATTCCATTGCGTCAGTCGAGGGTTTTACCTTAGGTTTCTTCGTCTTATCGACAAATTTAGCCTTAGAGGTTTTTGTTTGAACCTCTGACTTGGAACTGAAATCACCAGCGGTAGTCGTAGGATTTTTCAAGCTAAAAATTGGTTTGGTACGATGATAAGTAGGAAAAACTCTCTTAATTTTTCAGCATTTGCCTTAGGGTCAGACAAAGGACCCATAAGTACACGAGTCTTACCAGAAATAGAGAAGGGGATTAGTACTGAGACTTGTAAATGTGAGTTTTTTCTTCCTACAAAAGAGGTTCGGAAACATGCTCTTGATTCTCAATGAGCAGTGGAACCTGCATTATGTTTGCAAGTGGTAAAACTTCTTTTGAACCTTTAACATCTTTAGTATTCTTGAATTTGGAAGCTACATGGTGAGATTCGTGAAGGATTTTGAAGAAAAATGTGTTTTTGTGTGTTTGCTGGTGAGAAAAGGCAAAGAAAAGATAGAGAAGACAAAGAGCTGAAAGAAGAAAAAGTGAAGAATGAAACATGAGGTATTTATAGTGGATAGAAGAAACTGTTCGACTTCTGAGATTTAACATATGGATAAATGTCGTGGGACACGTGTATTATGGCTTAGAAGCTTGGTTTTCTAAGGCCTCAACTGGTTTCCATGGTTCCTTATATGGCTCTAAGAATGCTCATACTAAGTTTCATGCCTTGCATCACAAGTTTGCTCAGTCAATGGCTCAGATGACTGAAAATTAACTATATTTGATAAAAAAAGTAAAATGTGGTCAACATACAATCAAACTTCAAGATTTTTGGTCAACATCGAGATTTTGAAGTCATATTCATCATTTGATTAAGGGTTGATCATGATTCATCAAGGAAAACTCTCAAATCATCAAAATTCAAAATTTGCCAAATTAGGGTTTTCCTAAGGAGAAGTCAACTGAATTTTGACCAAGCATAACTTTCATATGCTTCATTATATTTTCCTCAACCAAAGCTCATTTGAAGGAAATTCAATTCTCTACAACTTCGTCTCTCTAAGCTCAAGTCCAAAAAATGCTTCATTTGAGAGATATGGGCCAAAACATTATAGGTCATTTCAAAAGTTAACAAAAAGTCCAAGATCACCTTCATATAGCAAAAATTAGGAGAGTTATGATTGGCACAAGTTGGGAAATTTCGAGAAAATGCATGAAACCCAAATTGATCAAACTCGAATTTTTGGGCTAGTGGGCTGATCTTTGAAGGTCCAAATGTGTATTAGACCTCATTGTGAACCTTTAAGTCTATTCATGCACCCCTTGGATTTTTGTTCTGTTTATTTTTTATTTTATTTATTTAAATTCAAAATTAAAAAGGATAAAACCAAGGCTTTTATGACAAGGTCCAAGCCCAATTTTGTTTGACCTAATTCATCACTATTTATTCTTCATTTGTACAATAAAGCTAGACATGAAAACCCTTGTAGATAAAACTATTCCAAAACTTTTAAAAATTCAAGAAACAATGGCAACACAAAACCCTCGTTTCTAGTCTTTCTCAATTGAAACCAAGCATTGCATTATCATCTTG